TCATGCGTATCGAGCATATAGGACCAAATCTATTTGTTTTAAACCAGCTGGCACTTGGTGGGTGATGTAGTCAAAATCACACCGGCCGCCTTTACTTTTCAGGACATTACCTACTATACATTTAAGGCTGAGTCGACATAGCAGCCAATGTCATTTTGAAGAAAAAAAAAAATTCCTGCTTCGACAGGACCAGAAACCGAGACCTTCAGATCCTCAGGCGAGCGTCTAGCGTCTGTCTCGAGTACTTGCAATAATTTTCCATACAGGTAATCTCTATCTTCTCTACTTCTCTTCTTTTGTTCTTTCACCCTCCATTTTTTTTTTTAACTGTCATGATGTCATATACCACAGTTTTCCTGTTTCCCTTGTGTGTAAAAAAAAAAAAAGTGTGTAAAATCTCTCCTTATGATGCGACATCAGTTTTTTTCGTGAGTCATTTTCTTTCAAAACATGCTCAGCACTCTTTTGTATCTGTCTACAGAATTCTCATCATTCGTCTATGAAACCACATTTTTCAGTTTTCACAGAATGTTTAACTAAACCTCTGACTGTCCATGATTCACCTCAGTATATCCAGATAGGCTCTAAATAACGTTATGACGTCAATAAGGAGGTGACAGCAGTTGCTAAATACCGCATCTGTTGTCTTGTACATTTAGTTTTGTAGTCACAGTCTGTGTTGTAATTAGAACTTCGTTGATAAAGATTTCGTCGAAGGCTTCGGTTGTGTTTGTGCGCGCCTTTCCCATTCCCTCTGTAAGCTTCAGAGCAGCATTTTATGTTGTATTTAGCACATAAGCTCTATATAGCTCTTAGGAACTTTCAATGTTCACCCGCCCTCAAAGGCCCTTATAATATTTAGCTTGCTAGTAATCAATTCACCACCAAGCTGTGCAGAAGGAGCCAGTCTATCTGACCATTAATTTCCTAATACACCGGCATTTCCCTAGGGAAATATTCAAAGGACGCTATTTACCCATAACCTCTGACGCGATGCTGGTCACTCTTCACGGAGCATACCGGTCTCCACCTTTCTCGACATGCTCTGTGAGTCGGTTACAATAACAACATGTGTGCAGCTGATTCTCAAGCCAGCGAAAAGTTGCCTCTACCTCCATTCTCAAACTAGATCGTATGGCGTCATATGCCAGGATTTGTTGCCCTAAGCGACGTCCATTCACTTTTGTTAAAACCCCCATGAGCTTCATCTGCCTCTGAAGACGGAGCAATGTGTATAGATTATCACATTAACAGGACGAAAATTGTTATGAATCATGCGTCGAGCTTCGTATTTTGTAGTGTTAGTATATATAGCACACATACTGCCGGGTGTCCCCTGTACATCCAAGAATTACCCTCATGGCTTCATTTTGTATGCGCTCACGTTTCATTGGCTGGCTCTTTGATACGGTAAGCGTTCCAAGTCAGCAAGTCATTTATCATGACAATTAAAGGCATCAGCAGAGTCAATGTTAAACGTGGAAGAGCTTCTACAGTTCAAGCGTGATGGAGATTTTGTGACAGGCCTCAGTGAAAATCTAAAAGATTGTATCTATGCTTGTTTGTAACTGCATCCTTCTCCGTTTTGTGCCAAATGCTGACGAAGACGCTCTAACCACAACGCTACTTTTGTTGTTCGTGTGTGTGGTATTTATTTTTATTTTTAGAATTACATTTTTCTTCATAATGTGCTGTAAATGTTACCTGTTTTTAAAGGAATAATACAAACCAAAATTCGTTGCTGAGGAAACATTACCCACCTTCATTTAATGTCACGTAGTCAGAATGGCTACTTACGACACATGAACAAAACACAGTTTGAAAATCCTTTATCTAAAGTAACAGCAGAAAGAATATGTTGAAGGTATTAAACCAACAGAGCTCATCAGGAATTTGAGTTTAGTAGCTGCTTAAAAAATATTTTTTACTACAGAAATTTGCATATGCCAGTGAAAGCTGGAAGACCACAGAAAACATGAAGCTAAAGGCATCTGGAAACTAAGCCTAAGGTAATTGCTGAATATTAAAAATAGATGGCTTCAAAAAGGGTGAAAAATGACAGAAAATTTTTTAGCAAACATAGGTGTTAAAAGATACAAAACAGAGGAGATGATACTACAGTGGATGCATCATGAAATCATTCGAATAGAGAATCATCAAGCAAACACTGGGACGGGGAATAAAGGCATTGGGGACACGAGGATGTTCAAGAGAAATAATTAAGTGAAAGTTGGTGAGAGAAGCATTCCGGTCCATTACATCTAAGTGACTACACAGAATAGAAAGGAATGGAGGGATAAAATGCGAGCCCTATGGGACACTGAATGACACTTCTTCTTCTTTACTTCTTTACTTCCTCTTTTACCGCTGTGGCTGTCGAGGGAGATATAAGGTTCTGTTTCTAGCTCTTCTGGCTGCCTCGACCATAGGCGCATCGTGCTGTTGTAGAGTTTCTCTGATGTTATCCTTCCATCTTGTTCTTGGTCTACCTCGTGCTCTACCTCCTTCTTCTCTTTCCATGTATGCTTTGTATGGTATGGTGTCACAAGGCATTCTCTCTAAGTGGGCAAACCATTTCACTTGCTGTCTTTGTATGTAATTTAGAACTGGTTCTGTGCCGACTTTTTCTCTTATGATCTCATTCCTGATTTTATCTTTTATGGTCACTCCTACAGCCCTTCTCAGACATCTCACTTCCATGGTTACTAATTTTCTTTTATGGTTTGTTGTGAGTGACCATGTCTGGCACTGGTAGCACAGAGTTGGAATAAATATGCTTTGAATAAGATGCCTCTTTGTGCTGATTGGGATTGTCTTATGCTGTAAGAGGGGGGCTAGCTGTCCCAATACTTGGCTTGCTTTACTGCATCTAATGTTAATTTCTTTATCTAAATGACACTACAAGCCAATAAATGAATAAGTAAGATGCTTAACAGTCCGACAAATATGGATCTCCAAATGCAGCGTTCTAAAATATGAGATGTGAGTTGTGTAAGTTCGAGTATTATTGTGACGCAATGAACCTCGCACACAGGTATGGGATACCGCTTTCCTTGTTTTGCTCTCTCCAGTTTCCCGATACTGGCTTCCACGTCTTCATCGATGGCTATTAAAGTTTCACGTTACTGGCTTCCACTTCTTCATCGATGGCTTTTAAAAGTTTCATCATACTAGCTTCTACTTCTTTATCGATGGCTATTAAAAGTTTCACGATACTGGCTTCCACTTCTTTATCAATGTCTATTAAAAGTTTCACGATACTGGCTTCTACTTCTTCATCAATGCTAGTTCACAGTATCACAATACTGGCTTTCACTTCTTCTTCGATGACTACTAAAAGTAAGCTATTGTATGAAGAAGTGGATTCTTCATCAATGTCTATTAAAAGTTTCACGACAATGACTACCATTTCTTTATCGATGGTTATTAAAAGTTTCACGACACTGGCTTTCATTTCTTTATCGACGGCTATTAAAAGTTTCAGGATACTGGTTTCCACTTCTTCATCAACGGTTATTAAAAGTTTCAAGAGACTGGCTTCCACTTTTTCATCAACGGCTATTTAAAGTTTTACGACACTAACTTCCACTTCTTCATCGACGGCTATTAAAAGAACGCTGATACGTTGTGTTGTGATGAATGGTTTACAGCTAGGCTATGATATCTACGTCCTTCGAGCCAACACATCCTATTTCAGCAAATTTTCCATTAGTATCCTTTTACGACATGCTTTTTAAATGGCAGTGGGTCTATTTCTCTTACCTTACACTGTAAAAATTGTGCCCCAGAAACCACACGCTGAAAAATGTTGGCTTGTCAAGTAGAAAAAGTTGTTACAATAATCCATTCTGGCACAGTTGTTACAGTAATCCACTCTGCCACGTTGTCATATTATTCCATTCTGTCCAGTTGTTCCATTAATCCATCGTGGAACAGCTGTTACGTCAATCCATTCTGTCATAAATGTTACATTAATCAATTCAATCACAGTTGTAACAATAATCCACTATGCCACAGTCTTTGATTTAATCGATTCTGCCACAACCGTTTCGTTAATCCATTTTGCCACAGTTTTTACACTAATCCATTCTGGTATAATTTTTTATTAATCCATTCTGGCACAGCGGGTACATTAATCTCTTCTGCCACATTTGTGACATAATCTGTTCTGAGACATTCGTTACATTAATATTTTCTGCCACATTTGTTTTATAACTCAACTCGTTGACATTTGTTAACCTAAGTATTTTTCCCCTCATGGTTTAAACGACTTAAGTTCTTAAGAAAAATTTTTTTTAATTTAAAATACGAATTCTGGAAGGAACTGTGTGACAAACAGGGCTAGCTGTTAGACCTCAAGCCCTTAGTTGGTTTGCCGCGGTTCAGTCACGAGAAAAATTGTTACGGAGATCAATTGGTATGGTCACTGGAGCTACGGGGTTCGTGCTCTGTACGACTATAACATCTGTTGGCAAACTGTTATTGGAGAGAGAGAGGCCGAAGCATATGGGGGAAAAACGCGGTGCAATAAAGTCGATCTTCACGACTTAAAATTCTCTTTAACGTATGTGACACATAATAGCAAAACATTAAGATGATGATGATGATGATAATGAAATTATTTAGACTACAGAGAGTTAAAAACAACACATAAGGGATCCTTTTCCACCCTTTCAGACGTATTGGGCATATAAGGCTAAACGTATATTGTTTACATAAGTATATGTTGAATCTCTGACGCTAACACGATTGCGTGACCGAGCAGTTAAGCTTGCTGAACCACGGCTATATCGTCTTCGAGGTAAAGACAGGAGATACTATAACCAACTTTTCATGGGAACAATCAGTAGGGGTACCTTAAAATGGCTGCTTCATCGGAGGACTCAGCAGGTATGGAAATGCCTAATGTGTAAAGACGTCGATTGTAATAATATAACACAGTATAACATAAATAATGCAGAAACAGTTATTGAAACACAAACACGCCTGCGCGCGCGCACATGCGCACGCCACTAAATCTTACCTTGGGTGGACTGAGTCGAAGTGAACTAGCAGACGAGGCTTTCCTGGCAAATCTCTGAGTTGGAAACTGTTGAACAAGAGAGATACATGCGAATGGTGTTACGCTGAGCATTAATAAAAAATTTCCATTACCTCTGTTTGTCTGTGGGCTGCCGAGCATTGATTTACCCGACCCGACGATCCCTCACATGTTCTCGCTCACACTCGATACCCGTCATCGAAAAATTTGTAATGGCTTTTACTTAATCCAGTCAAAGCTGCCGTCTTCCATTCCCTGACCCGGAAGTGTTTTGATTCTATAACCTAGTCCAATGAAACCGACCAATCAGTTCTTGTCTTCAAATGTTCGTTGTATACTAGACTTATCATTATGGTTGGATGTGTTTGTGTTATATTTGTTTTAGTCGACTTTCTTTCTCTTATAGTGACCAGGGCTATTGAACTAGCGGCCCGTGGCCCAGATCTGGCCCGCAGAGGCCTAACAAGTGACACGCGGATCACTGGATTACCAGATTACCAGATTGTGTAAATCAGAGGGATTCAGCTAAGTTCACTCAGGGGTCAACATGTTGGAAAATGGGGATCGTCTCGGGCCAGAGGACTAAGCCTCAGCATATCAATATCATTTCTACACTACATCCGGCAGGTTTAGGTTTAGGTTTAGACGACAGATCAACGTCATGGCACAAGGGTAGTAGCCCATAAGTGCTCCCTTCTACTTCTGACTAAAATCCGATCCGAAGAATCTCGGCGCAATGCACGAAATCCGTAGCACTGGTGAGGATCATGAAATACTTTTGGTAGATTTTAAACTTCAAAATTTGTCTGGGCAGCGTCGTTAGGCTAATTTTTTTCGATTTCCAACTGCCAAGGGATGTCTTTAACGTGCGCAACAATACACACAGGCGTCCGATCTTACTACCCAGAGACCATGGGAAATTATTAGAAGTCCATGTGAAAAAATCCCAACATTACCTGGGTCTTGAACTCGGGACCTCCAGCACTTGAGGCGGACGCCATGCCCCGAGACCACGCAGCCCCCGGCAGGTGTTCCGTGGACCTCTTGTAAGACCGCTGCGAGCCTGTCACGAGTGTTGACTAAGTGTGGCAGACATGGGTGTTGACTGAAAGTGGCTCTCGCGGGTGTTGACTAAGTGTGGCTGGCACAGGTGTTGACTAAGTGTGACTGTCACGGGTGTTGACTAAGTGTAACTAAGACGGGTGTTGACTAAGTGTGGCTGACACGGGTGTTGACTAAGTGTGGCTGTCACGGGTGCACTAAATTGTAACTCCATTGGTGTTTGAACGGGATATCTGGACTTACTTGTTCGGCCGCCACCAGCACTGAGACTGTTTTCTTACAGTGTCAAACCTTCCGGTCCTTTCCCCATGTGGGTTCCCGGGCTCAGTTTTGGAGAACCCACTGCACCCTAGAAAGTATGTCGTAGGAAGTGACCAATTATGGATGCCTCCTTGAAGGTCGGTGTGCATCTACTTCAGAGGCATAGAACCAACAGTCTGCATACAAATAAGGCAATCTGTAAAACAAATGTGTACACAAAATTCAGGTTGTGGATCAAGACATAAGTCTAGGACTGGACAAACAGTTTACAGTCAGTGAACGCTAAGAAGAAGAAGATAACTTTTGGTCTGCCATCCAGATTACGATCGTCTGATCTCAGGTTGTCAAACTGTCCAAACAGCAAGCAGGCAGATACACACACACACACACGCACACACACACACACGCACGCACACACACACACATATATATATATAAATATATATATATACGCTCTTCATATATATAAATAAATATATATATATATATATATATATATATATATATATATATATATATATATATATATATATATATATATATATATATATATATGTATGAAGAGCGTCATGTTCCCATTCAGCCACTCAAGATAACTTTTTAGGTACTAGAAGATTTGGCTGCAAATCCTCAAGTGGGACGGAAATTACGAATGCTAGAGAGACAAAAAAGAGCGGAGTGGCCATTCGTGTAGCAAGATTTTCGGAGTATAGTTTGTCCAAATGTGAAACGTAAATAGAAACACACTGTTCGTTGATTATGACACAAAGATTGTCCCATCACGCGCTATGTCTTTTTTGGACTTGGTCTTAGTCATTGTCAGGGTTTCAACTACACAGCAATCGGGCAGCCCCCTACTTGCTCCGTTCTTGTGCGAGTACAAATCAAATAAAATTCCCCTCACTTTTTCCACTTAAAGAACTGGCGAACAATTAGTCTCGACACAATCCAGAAAAATGCACACGCAGAAAATGCATATGGCAGTTGCTAGAGGTGCCAAAGCCATCATGCAGCACCATAAATGCAGTTTGTCATTGGTCGGTCACGATAAGTTGGCTATGCACATGACAAATTATCATATAAGATATCTTGCCACCCACGCCTAAACCGTAACTCGCAGGCCATATTGAATACCCCAACCCAATCGCTGCATAAATGAAAGGCATTCCACATGACAAAACGGCTCGCAGTGCTGCACTTAACTCAGTAGCTTAGGCCGCGAAACCAGACTTCAGTCCAAAAGTGAAAACTGCTTTAGCAAAACAGAATCAAAAGCAAAAATAAATTCACAGCTAAACATTCAGCCGCGCCTAGTCCTCCGTTTTTGGACCAGAAGTCTGTCTAGGACTGAAAGGGTTAGGACGATAGATCTGATCTGTCACATCAAGCTGCTTGATCTAGATGCATTGAGTTCCTTGACACAGACAGGGTACTACAACATTTTGACCTAGACAGTGGTCAGATTTCTTTGATATAAAGTCTCCTTTTTTGTTTATTCTTTTCACCAGACTCTGTTTTGCCCCTCGGGATCAAGTTTAAAAGATGCATCGGGTCGAGTCTTGATGTGTGCCTATGCAGATCCTGGTGTTTACAGCCCAAGGTATGCTGTGGCATAGTGGCTAGACGCTCGCGTGCGGTTCCGAAGTTTTTGGATTCAGGTCCCAACCGAGCCGGACATTTTGTCGACAAAGGTACACCTAGACTCAACTGGTTACCAGGTCTATACCTCGGAGATTCCGGTTCGAATCCTTGTCAAAGTCATGTTTTTTTTTTTTCTCTCATGACAAAAAAAAAAATCTTAGACTGCACAGTGTGTGGCAACGGCACTAGCCATGTGGTCCTCAATCATCAGGCCCAAATCCCCCTCCCCCTTTTTTTTAACCTCCCCTACCCCCGCATACACCGCAAAAGTGATAAATACAAGCAGGAATGGCAGGGACAGTTACAGTCGCAGAAGAGATGTTGAATCCTATTTTTCTGGGGTGCGAAATCCTACCCGAGAAAACACTTTAAAATATTGATTTATTCGCTACAAAACAAGTCACGGTAACTTTATTTCTTATTCCTAGCAAAACATACTTTTCTTACATTCGTGTGCGTTATTAATTTTTTACATTAACCTTCTGAATCCTACCTCCTCCTTTCCTTTCTTCTTTCCTCCTCTTCCTCCGCCTTCTTCTTCCTCCTCTTCCTCCTCCTTCTTCTTCTTCGCTTTTTCTTTAGACTGAGTAACGGGTCTCACCGAAAAGTAAAGTGATGTAAAATATTCTTGTTTGTAACTTTATTATTGTTCGTTTGTAAAGTAAAGGTAAAGTCGAAAGATGTGAACCAGGGTCATTGCAGACGGTTATAAACCATAAGTGCTGTGCCACCAGTACGGACAGCTAATAAGAATTGTCTGCCTGTGTCGCTGTTCGCACGTAACTCTGTGGCTAACGCTACGTTCCTCCATTTATCCCATAGTGTCAACACTGGTACGCATTTCCTAGAGGCTGGGTGAACCCCGGGAACTGCCCGGTTTCGAACACCGACCGTGGGCTGCAGCGAGAAGCAGTTGGATTTGAAAGCGAGCCTCTTATCGACTGCGCTAACGCGGCCCGTTTGTGTCGTACGTTGGCGACCGATTTATAACCGCAACGTCATTTTGTCCTTAGTGATTGCAGTCCGGGGACTGAAAGAGTTAAATAGATGGACAGAGAATGTAAGGGGGAAAGTAAAAGAATTTGTAAGAAATTTCGCAAATAAAAGTGAGAAGACAGGAATAATAAAAGGCAAGACAATATTTAGTGAGTAATCCATTAATAAACTGGTGTGTGTGTGTGTGTGTGTGTGTGTGTTTTCCATCTTCCTGGACAGATAAGGGGAAAAACGGAAAAACAACAGGAAAAACCATTTTTACATTGTAATAAAGTGTATTAGGCAATAAAACAGGAGAAAACAAAATAACGATGAAATAAAATAAAATGCAGTGAGCATAACAAAGAAAAACAGACGAACGGGTGAATGCATGGATGGACAAAGAAAAAAAAGAAGAAGAAGAAAATAACAGATAGGAGTAAAGAAATCAAGAAGCAAATTAAATAATGGCACAGTTCAATTATAGAATCAAGCGAATGACAGAAGTTTAAAAAAAAAATTCATTAGGAACAAATGAATAGCTCAATGGAAAAACTATCATCTGAAGAGGCGGAAAGCTTTCCAACAATAAATCAGCAGTTGAAATAAAAAAGTTAAAAAAAAAAAGAACAGTAAATGTAAATCGAAAGAAATGGAGAATAAAGACATAAAGTAAAGAAATAAATTAAAAGATAAAAATAAAAGAAAGATACAGACATACAGAAAATATAGAAAGAAGTTAATATAAACTAAATCAAGATGCAAAAACAATAAAAACAACGCCTAAAATATATAAGGTGTAAAGAAACACACACACATACATACACACACACGCCCACGCAAACCTAAATCACTACAATCAGCGAATAAAGGATAAACTACAAACAAACAAACAAAATATGGAAACATACAAATTGAAGAGTAACGTAAATAATGGATTCTAGCAAGGCTCTGAACAATATAAATAAGCAAAATAATGTTGAGACATACTGCTACAGGAGAATTTAGAGGAGCTGAACTTAACGAACTTAGTATAGAAACAATATATCAGAAAGAGAAATAAATACTTATGAAAGAACAGAAGAAGACAAAACAAATTGTGTCAATGT